AGAGAATGCCTATGCAGTGAGCCTTTTGTCCCCAGAGTCATGCCCTGGTACAGGTTCCATTTGTTTAAACAACACTGTTTATACAAAGGACACATCAGAGTTCAAATATTTGAAACAGAACAATGCCAAAATATTTGGTTACGCTCTGAAGGATGACTTCAAGCAACTGAGAATTTTGATATCTCAAAACATCAGCTTTCTGTCAGACATATTTCCCAAACTATCTCTGGGAAATAAGCAAGTATTCCATCTACCTGCTTTCATTTTTTTTATTTATTTACATTATTTTTATTTTATTTTGCCTTTTGGTTGTTAAACTTGTGGTCTTCTTCTTGTGTGGTTTGCAGGTGTTTTGCTTGCATAACAGTAACATTAGCATTGGTAGGGATGCTCGCATAGCCTCATTCTGTAACTTTTCATAGGGTGAGAGCCTGCTATGCCATTAGGTCATAGTATAGGAGATGATCTAAACCCAAGCTTCTTACCTCTCCCCTCAGCTCAGTGAATTCTGAGAAGGTTAAAGCAACTGTCCACTTGCCTGGACGAGGCTAACAGTTTCTGTAGAATTCTTAAGATCAGGCTAGTGAGGTTTGCCCAGGAGCCTTCTACAGAACCGTTTGGCTACTAATATCCTCTAAACGCTCCCGGTAGTGGTGGTGCACACCTTTAATCCCAACACTCGGGAGGCAGAGGCAGGCGGATCTCTGTGAGTTCAAGGCCAGCCTTGTCTACAGAATAAGTTCCAGGACAACCTCCAAAGCAATACAGAGAAACCCTGTCTTGAAAAAGCCAAAAAACAAACAAAAAAAAAATATCCTCTAAACATTAAGCATGATAAAGTGAGGCTATCCCTTTAAGGAAAACTCAGTGGCACCAAGAGGCCTGGAATGAGAAATTGAGTCACCCCATGGTTTGAAAAATATGTTGTTTTATCCTCATTTCTGCTTATAAATTTATAAGTCCACAATTTAAATATGTAAAGCTTTCCACATCAATATCTGTTGTTTCTTCATATTTTTTAAGAATATGAAAGAAAAAATTACCTTCCAGCTCAATAAAGTATCACGTAAAGCCTTGCTTTGGGGCTTAAATGACATTCCATCTCTGCTTCCATGTGAAAGAGAAACTCCCATCAAAAAGGGGTCCTAAGCTAGACCTTCAGTGCAGCACACTGAACCAGTGTGTCCCAGGGACAGTAAAGCCTTTTGTTGTTTTGTTTTGTTGTTGTTTTGAGACAGGGAATGTATCTCTGACTGGCCTGGAGCTCACCATGTAAACCAGGCTGACATCAAACTCATAGAACTCCACCTGCCCCTGCTTCCAGAGTACTGGGATTAAAAGCATGTGCCACCATGCCTGGCTCGATTTCATTATTGTTGTTGTTTGTTATACTTTTAAGTAAGATAACAGCAAAATTGAAAGAAAGGTACAGAAATTTCCCACATGCCTTCTGTCTTCACACATCCTCTGTTACCAGTATCAATACCTCTCACTTGAACAGTATTTGCTACAACCACCCGCAGTCCATAGGTTACACTGGAGTTCATTCTTGGTGCTGTGCATGCATGGCTTTGAAACAAGTTCTTAGAGTATAGATTCATAATGAACAAGAAGTTTTTTAGCCAAGTCTCTTTTCTGGTTCTATGGAACGGCCAAGAGGAATTTAAAATAAGAGAAAAAGCATATTGACATGTAACTGTGTCCCAAGTATTACAATATTTATCCCATCCTTGATTTGGAGCTATTAATAATTCTTATTCAGTATTTATCCCAGATGCCAACCTAACTCAGCATCCCATGTTGTATCTGCTAAACACAGCCTATGACAAAGCTGTGGGGCCACAAGGTCTAGAAAATGGGGACATTTTTCTTAAGAAGGCTGAAGGTTTTAGAGCCAAATTATGTCACTGGAGTATTAGTTCAGATCATCATGGGACTCTGGGAATATGAGATTGTGTCACATGTAAATCCGTGAGTTTCTGAAACCAGAAAACTAGACTTTTTGTAATGCCGACGTTTTCCTGTTGACTTTGTTGAATTTCTGTGTTTTGTCCTCCCCTTTTGATTAATCTTCAGTTGATTAGTAATCAGCCTTAACTTCCATCCTCCCAGGTTCCTAAGTTAATGATCTACTTAGGATATTTTAAATAGAGTCGGAGACCCCATAGTGTGAGTCCTTTGTTAAACAAAAGCCTTTTTTAAAAAAATTAAGAGCACCATTGTATTTTAATTAATCACTTCAAATATATTTATTTTAGAAGTTTGGGTTTCTATATAGGCATTTTTTTTTACCAATAGAAGAAAAATATAGTGTTTATAATTAAACACAGACACACTCTGGTTTATTTTCTCCTCACTAATTTCACTATTTGTGAAAAAAAGTAAGATAAAGCACACTCAGATCATTTTAAAACAAGTAGTTTCCCATATTAAACCAGAATAATATAAGGATCCATAGTCTTTTTAAGAAAACTCCCTAAAGGAAGTGTTCCCATCTTCTGAGGAGATGGGAACCAGACACACTCTTCCGGTCAGGCCCTGGAAATGTGTCTGGTCCTCCCTTAAAGAAGCTGTGCCTGAGAGGCCATTGGACTGAGCTTCAAAGTTGTGGGGAGTGGAAGGGAGGGGAATGATTTATCTCCTCTCAGATCTGAAGTATCAATGCTGCTCAGTGCTTCACCAGTTCCCCCCTCGCCACCCCCCCCAGGGTGGTACTACTGGCATGCCCTGGGTAGAGGCAAGGGACTCAGTTTTATGTCCTGTGTACAAGACAGCTTCCTAAAGCAAGGAATGATCCAACCCCAAATGCAGCAACATACCAGAAGGAGAGAGTGAAGAGAAGTTGATGAGGTCAGAGATAACCAAGGCTGGGCATGGCAGAGGCCAGGTCAGGGTATAGTTTTTCTGCCAGTTTGGGCTCTGGCTCTTTGACGAGGGCAACAGCAAACTTTGGAGCATTCTGGGCAGATAGGGGAAGTGATCTGAGTTTAAGAGTTGACCAGTGAGTGGAAAACAGATTGAAGAGAGATGGGAGGAGCTGGGGAGATAGCTCAGCTGGTGGAGGGCATGCTATGAGAGCATGCGTCTGAGTTCAACCCCCAGCAACCATATAAAAACCCAGGACCAGAGACAGGCCTGCAACCCTAGCTGGAGGGAGGTGGAGATGGGAGGGTCCCGGTGTCCTGCTGGCCAGCTAGTATAGCCCAGTGAGTTCCAGGTTCAGTGAATCATATCTCAAAAATAAGATGGAGAGCTGCTGAAGGGGACATGCTAGTTAACTTCTGGATGCCCACAAACACACCCCTAATTGCACACATGTGCACACAAATATGTACACATATATACACAAAAAAAAGAGAGGTGGAGATGGATAAGGGACACAATTCAGGGGCAGGGTTAGTTTTTAGGCAAGAGAGAAAGGGCTTTAAAGCAGTGCCAAAGAGACAAACTTGTCTCTTAGAGCAACCAAGCAATCCAATGCTAACAGTTACAGAACAAACAAAAGTGTACTCTTGATTCCAGTTCCCAGTCTTTTTATTATTATATATATCATAGTGAGGGGGTGTGTGCATGTGTGTGTGCACATGCGCATTCATGCATGAAATCTAGAGCTGAAGTAGGCATTTACCTAGCAACTCACACACACACCCTCATGCACACCACACACACACACACACACACACACACACACACACACACAATCAAGACACATTAGCTAGATTTCATTTTACACAACAGGATTCTTGCCTCACGCATTTCAACAATTAGATAAGTCTTGTTTATGATACAGTAATTTGAGGTAGAATAGACATGACAAAATATAAAACCCACTGGCTCTTTCTAACAACTCTTTTGAAGTATATTTTTCCAAGCTGCATTTAACCCAAAGCCTACTTAATTGCCTGAAAGGGGATGAGATTACCATAAAACCTTAATACCTGATTATAAAGGGGGCCTAGGTTTTTCCTCTTCTTGGTCTGTATCAGATGGTTCCAATGGCTATTTCCCCCTTAGTTATCCAAGGCAAAATGCTGAAACACTCAGAATCTCAGTTGATTTAAATCCATGGCTTCCCCAGAGGTCTCAGACTTCCTGGTGTGTCTCTCCTCCATGGGGTCTCCCTGGAGCTCACATCTCTTCTCCTGTTTGTAACCACACAGTGGGAGCCTGTGGCAGCTGCAGCATAGATTGACTTCACCCCTGGACCCAAGGCTGCATCTGTCCTTTATATTTAAATCATTCTATTATTATTGGGGGCGGTTAGAGTCATACCATTTGCCATCTGTTTGTCAGTAAAATATAATATGCCTTTCTGTTTCTTTAGCTTTAGGGGATGGGTCTTAAAACAGAGTTGAATTTTAGAGATCTTTGTTCTGTTTGCATCTGCTCCTACTCAGGTAGAGTCAGGGCAAACTTACAGCAAAGTGGCAAAAGCCAGAAGATGTCACATTTCCTCAGCCTTTGAGACCTAGTTTCTCAGTTTGCTCTGCTACCCACATACACCACAATTCTGCAGCAGCTTGATAAAATGTAAAGGCATCCATTCCCCCCAAAAAAGCAGGACACCAAGGTGTCTCGGTTCGAGGTCCCAGAAACTGCATTTCAGGGAGTGTGTAAGAGTGTTTCAGTGAGTGAGAGCTATATTCAAGGCTATAAAACAGGGTGACTTAGATGTCACCCTGGTCACAGCCACCTGTCTCCTTGAGAAACCTGGTAGATGTCATTCAACATGAACAACTCACCCTTAGAGACATGTTTCCTACAAGGAACTGTGTCATTACCATATGACTCTTCTCTTTTGACACCAATATTTTGCAAAGTGTTAAAGGGCACATTTTAGCCTTTGCTTCCAAGGGGCCACCATGAATGCTTAGCCTGAAAGGATGATCATTTTGGTGTGGGTACAATTATAGCCAATTCTAGCGATGCTTTGATTTAGAAGACTGCCTGAAATGATCCTGGTTGTTGTCTCATGTGACGCTTTCTGTTTCGTTAAACAGCCAATATGCCTGAAGATTATCCTGACCAGTTTGATGATGTCATGGATTTTATTCAAGCCACCATTAAAAGACTGAAGAGGTCACCAGATAAACAAGTGGCAGTGCTTCCTCGAAGAGGAGATCGGAATCGGCCGGGGGCAGCTGCCAGCCCAGAGAATTCCAGAGGGAAGGGTCGCAGAGGCCAGAGGGGCAAAAATCGGGGGTGTGTCTTAACTGCAATACACTTAAATGTCACTGACTTGGGTTTAGGCTACGAAACCAAGGAGGAACTGATCTTTCGGTATTGCAGCGGCTCCTGTGATGCGGCTGAGACAATGTATGACAAAATACTAAAAAACTTATCTCGAAGTAGAAGACTAGTGAGTGACAAAGTAGGACAGGCATGTTGCCGACCAGTTGCGTTTGACGACGACCTGTCGTTTTTAGATGATAACCTGGTTTACCATATTCTAAGAAAGCATTCCGCTAAACGGTGTGGATGCATCTGACTCCGGTTCCAGAGACTGCTGTGTATTGCATTCCTGCTACAGTGCGAAGAAAGGGACCAAGGTTCCCAGGAAATGTTTGCCCAGAATGGAAGATGAGGACCAAGGAGGCGGAGGCAGAGAAGGAAGAAGAGGGAGAGGAGGAAGAGAAAGAGGACGGCATCCATCGTGGGAGCCTGGTAGAAGAAGGCCCAGCTACAGAAAACTGGATAGGAGTGAGAACAGCCGTCTGAGCACTCCAGGATGGCAGGGGATATCACCAGAAGCTCAGGGCTGGTGTCCCTGCTTAGCTGTTGCCAGCATTTATCTGATACAGTCCATGGTCACCGATCGCAGTCCGAGTCGCGGATGCATGCAAAGCACCAAGCCAGTGTATCTCCTGTGGCTCATTGTCACGTGTCTGAAGACACCAGGGAAATGTGATGACTCTGGTGTCACCTCTTGTCACTTCATTTACTGATGAAAGTAAGAAAGCTGTATTTTCCTGTCACTCAATGGATTCACACCATGAAAAGGAGAGGGGTGGGGGAACAAAAGCAGAGGAGCAAAGAGATCATAACCTTTGAATTTGAGACCTGAGGCCTGAGGTTTACTACATCCAGCATTTTGGGGGAACCCTTTGTGGTTGATTTTGAACACAGTGTATGGGGAGGGAGAAGTTGGCTAGGAACCCAAAGGCTGTCCTCCTGCTTAAAAACATTTCCTTGATGCCCTTGGAAACAGGAAGCAAGCAGCATTCTTGTAGGAGAGCGGGTGGCAAAGGCCCCCAGCTGCCCCTGGCCAGGGAGAGCCCCGGGGCCTGTTGGTTTACAGAGACTGACGTTACATACACAGCTCCGTTTATGCGTGGTCACCAGTGACCAGAGAAGCTACTCGATGCAATGCATCTGTTTCAAATACAGAGATATAGAGAAGATATTTATTGAGATTTAAGTTATTATTATTTATTACCATTCACTAATGAATTTCTCTCTTCTTCCCTTATTTATTAAAGTCTCTTTTCAAAGGTGCCAAAGTATATGTGCTCACAAAATACAAAAAAAAAAAGGTGACAAAAGGAAATATTAATTGGGAACAAGGGTCCATGCTCCATGCTCTTCAAAGTACTGAAAGGGTTTCCCACTAGGCAAAAATCACTTACTTTACCTTTATATGACAAACCTTCGCTAACTGCCCCAGATTTCCCCCTCTTTTTTGTGTACAGGGTCTCCTGCGGCCTAGGCTGACCTTGAACTTACTGCTTGGTCAAGGATGACATTGGCTTTCTGAGCCTCCCACTTCCTGTGGATCTCAGACATCACACCCTATCTCCATGCTAGGGATGGAATTCAGGGCCTCATCCAAGCTAGGCGACCTCACCAACTGAGCTGCACCCCAGCCTCCACTTTTTATCCGTTAAAGGGAAATGTCAGAAGGAGCATCTCAGCCCCGCCCCCTCAATGGCAGCAGTCCCAGTGCTGATGCCACACCCATAGCCATCTCATCCTTGCTCCATCACTGAGCAGAGAGGCCCCAAGCTCCACTGTCTATTGTGTCAAGCTCTACTTCCCTTCCACGTGTGTGACATCATGACCACATATACAGAAGGCTAAATTCCCCTTGGTAGTCATGGACTTACTGTCACCTAAAAGTGAAATGAAGGACCTGCCAGGTAGCCAAGGTTTAGCTCTGCCTGGTGGCACCTCTGCCTCCATTCTTGCCCACCTACCTCTTCCCTGAGGGCACATAGGCAGGAGCACATAAGGAACCTTGTAGGGAACAGCAATCTGCCTTGTCCTTTGCTGGGGCTCAGTTGTCATCTGGGTTCAACATTTGCTATCCCTTCTAACCCAATGGGTTCTAGGAAGAAAGATTGACAGGAAGAAGAGGTATCCGACTGGCCACAGGACAAATGCAGCCCACTCCCATTGTTTAGATGGGAGGAAGTAGATGGTGGGAATGGTACCTCTCACTGTCCCCATAGTGTACCTGTCTAGCAGCTGGCATACAAGTCATGCCTTGAGTCCTATGTTAGATCTTGTTACACATTTCATAAATGGAATTTGATGCAGAAATTAATGTATCACTTCCTTCATGGCTGCTATCCCCCAAAGTAGGACCAATTGGCTTATCTCAAACAATCATGTCAAAATTTCAAAGTAACCAAGAGGTAAAAGTTGCTGGGCATCTCCTCCCCCTCCCATGGCCCTAAAGACCCAAGTTGTGTATGGCTTCACGCCCTCTTCAGGACAAGTGGAGGCAAGGGCTGCTCTCTCAGCCTCTCCTGCTCAAAATGGTGACACCCCCAGTTGTCTGGCATGACTCAGATGTAGTTCAGCATCCTCTATTCAATTCAGAGAATCCTGGCAGATGTGGTAGCTGATGTTCCCTGGTCCAGACACAGGCTCCAGCTCTCAGGGGAGTCCCCTGCTCAGCATCATCTACACACTGCAAGCAGGTTCTAATGGGAGCAAGCTGCTCCGCCAAGTCCACAGAAGGGTAAAGTTCGTGATTTTTTTCTTTATTGTTGTGATCCACCATCTGACACAGTAAGGAGCACACTTCTTTGGAAGTTCTGATCTCCCTGATCTGTCTCGGTCGTTTGTGTTATACAACCAAAGTTCTCTACAGACTTTATTTTTGTACAATATCATTTTGTAACTTTTTACAAATAAAAGCTCATTTCTATTGCTACCTGTACCTTTGTATTTATTTCCTCAAGTGCCAGTGAACTCTGACTGGTCCAGGCAGGCATCAGTTATTGATAGAGACCTGTGCCCTTCACCACCAAACAGGGCAGTGGTTGGTCAATGACCATACTAATCAACTCCTCATAACCAATCACTACTCAGATGGGGAAAAGCTTGTAAAGTTGTTCCTCATTTATTAGTTCAAGGAGTATTTATGGTGTCCCCACATTGTGCTAGGCACCATTCAGAGCACTGGAGACCCAAAAGTAGCAAGCAATAAATAAATAAATAAATAAATAAATAAATAAATAAATAAATAAATAAATAAATCCTTGCCTGGGAGAACTGAGATTGTTTGGAGGAAGACACAGTATTCAATATTGTAGTGGCCAATATGATGGGTATTACCAAGAATACAAGCAGGATACTGTAATTAAAAAAATAATAACAGTAAAACCCTCTTAGAAGTGACCTTGGGACTAAATATAAGAAGTAGTATCAACCAATCAGAAGCATCCCAGCAGAAACAGCAACTTATGGAAGACCCTGAGGCAAGCAAGAGCCTAGACAGAGGCCCTGCACATACATGGCAGTGTAACACACACACACACACACACACACACACACACACACACACACACACACACACACACCTCTATATTTGATATATTTGGGCATTGTGGTTTCTGGCTCACCAAGAAAAATACAACAACCAGTGGCCAACTTTGGAAATTTCATTCAACCAAGAAGAGTGAGTGTGTTGAAAGCTGGGAAATCCTTGAAAACAAACAAGGGAACTTTCACCATACCTTGTAACACTCTCCCCAGGCTCATGCTGCCTCAGTCTAGCAGCTGAGCGTCTCACAGATGTGCGTCCTCAGACAGAAGCTGCTCTCAAGAGCACCAGCTCTTCAAGTTCACATGGCTTGCACTCATGATATCCAAGGAGGGTTTTTTCCTATATTAAGCAAGCAATCTAGGGTGTGTGCCAAGTGAAGCAGGTTTAAAATCACTTTTAAAACAATGGGTCCACTCTTGTAGGTCAGGGTGGCATGTGCCCTTAATCTCATCACTTCTAAAACAAAAAGAGCATCTCCTACACAGATTTCTGTTTGAGCTGCAACCAATTCACTCTGGAAACAGAATTCTGGAGAAGAGGAAACCTGAGACATTGCTACCATCACCACATGGTCCACCCTTGCAAAAGGCAGTGAGGGACTCAGGTCTCAGCTAGGGGCCTTTGGCTTTTTTTTCACTGGGCGATGACATATTGAATCCTGAGTGTCTTGTTGAGACACGTTAGCAGGATTGCTACTGTAATCCCACGCAATAGTTAACTCATCTTCAGCCCTAGCCACACGACATCCTGAATGAAATTAAAACCAAATGCTGCCAAGTCATCCCTGAAAATAAACAGAGTTGGGGAAAGAAGGGAAAACACGCATTTAGTCACACATGACTACTCATGCCCTGCCACATCCCCAGGCCACAGCAGGTGGTTGTAATGGGTATGGGACTGGAGACTGGGGGTGTGGGGGCAGCCAGCGACACTCACCAGGGGAAGTACATGGTGACAAAAGTTTGTAGAAAGTGCCTTGACAGGAGCAACAGATAAGACGAAGGGCAGAATGAATACCACAGAATAGGACCATCAGATAAAATACAGGCTGTCCTGCTAAAGTTAAATTCAGATAAGCACGTAATTTCTTAGTATAAGCATGTCTCCTCCAATATCTGGGGTGTCTGATATGTAAAACATACTCATACTAAAATCATGGGATATTTACCCGAAATTCAAATTTAATTAGGTGTCCTGTAGATTAACTTGCTGAATCTGGTAAGACAAAGTGACATTGTAACTTGACCTAGGGTGTGTGGATAGGACAGGGCAAAGAGTGAGGAAGAGGCTGGGCCAGGTTGGGTGACAGACATTTCAGGCAGAAGAAATGGTGTGACCCATAAGGACAGAAGAGTAGTATACATTTAAGTCACAGTGTGTAGGAAGGTGGGCTCAGGACAGACTGCTGTTAGGTATAGCTAAAACAATGCTAAGGGAACACAAGTCTTTTCAGAAATCCAGGAAATATTTCATTTAAGGACATATTTTAAATTATTTTATTTTTGACACAATAAAAATATATATGATCATAAAGCAACCTGTATTTAATCAGTATCTATGACAAGACAGGAAAATTTCTGGTTTTTGTTTTGTTTTGTTTTATGGAGATGCTCACAAAGGTGGAAGTGCCTGGAGCCACGGAAGTCCTGAATGGGCCACTGGCAACATACACTCCCATCCCCAGCTGCCTTCCCTTCAAGTTCCTACTTCTTGCTAATTGTAAAACCAACCTCAACCTTGACAAGGATTCCTCCCATCCTCAGGGTGGGATTGTCATCTCAAGATATTTGCTTTTATATAAGGACAGGTTATTAATACCAGGGTTCATTAATAAGTTTGTTTTTTTTTGTTTTTGTTTTTGTTTTGGAAAGCCAGAACAAATGTTCTAGAACACACCAGCCACTAAGGGAACAGAAGCAAAGGGGCAGGTGAGAGGGAAAATGGACAGGAATGTGGGCAGTGAGGAAAGCTGAGAGAGGTGGTACGCTCACAGGATATCAGATCACCATGGAATCATATAACATTAGATTTTTTGGATGTGCAGAATAAGTTCTCTGAACTTGAGAGATTCCTTAAAGCAATTATGTGTAAGAAATTTTAACCCAGTCAGTCCCTGCTCTATTCCTGACTCTGTTACTCAAGTCATTGTTGAGTGTCTATACCTGCAAAGGGAAGATAAAGGGATATGAAGACATAGCCATCCAGGAGCTGCCAGATTGGATGAAGAAGCAGCATGAAAACACTGGGAACACACAAAGGATCATGGGAGTATGAGGGAAGGGTGGGAGTCATCTGGTCATATGGGATAGTGAAGGGAATCAGGAATGGCTTCTTAGAGGTGACAGCCTAGGTGAGTATCAAAAGATTTATAGAGATGTTCCAGAACAACTGCAGAGGACAACCATGAATTCTATAAATAGTGTTGGCTGGGTACGGGCATAAGTATCAAACTGTGGATGTTATGGGGCAGGGAGGGATGTAAGCAACATCCTTACAGAATGAAGGAGAGGAAAAACACATGGCAGAATGCAGAATGTAGATTAATAGAAGCAGGTTGTAAGAGCTGGTTGGGAAAAAGTCTAAGCTAAATGCCAAGATTTCATAATTAATAGTAAACTTCATGTCATAATTTGTGGGCTGGTGGTCCAAGAAAGTCCGACAAGAAAGCTTACCACCGTATGGCCTGGTTAGAGGAAACGTGTTACTGGGGGATGGGCTTTGAGGATGCAAACACCCACACCAGGCCCAGTGTCTCTCTCTGCCTGCAGATGAGGATGTAGCTCTGAACAACTGTCCCAGTGCCGTTCGTGTCACCATGCTTCCTGCCATACTAAAACGGACTAAATCTCTTAATCTGTAAGCAAGCCCCCAGTTAAATGATTTCTTTTGTAAGAGTTGCTCTGGTCATGGTGTTTCTTCACAGCAATAGAACAGTGACTAAGACACCAGCCTTTTCCCTTACTTACCCTCCCAAGGCCTCATCTGTATGATTTTCATTCACCCACATGGTCTCTTCAGTTAAGAGACTGCCAGGCCTTCCAGATGAGCATTGTCTAAGCTGGACGGACCCTTGAGCTGTAGGAGATTTCCACAGAGGTTGGGCTTCTTTGATACTCACAGTAGGGAAATGCTGTCATGCCAGTCCCCTCTCAAGGAGAAACATCTCCACTAGAGTATTAAATACGGTTCTAAGGAGGCCTTTGGAAGAAAGATCCATTTAATCTCATTCAACCCCAGCATTTCACAATCCTATTTGACCAAGGAGAGTCTCTGGCTTCTAATAGAAGGGGTCTGATGTTTGCAATATAGGAAATACTATTCTAGAATCAAAAGAATGCCTCTCTCGAAGAACTGCAGACATCAGACAGCAGGTTACTTCTGGGTGTGTGTGTGGGGGTGGGGATTCTTCCCAGAAGCCAACCATAGTTGAGCAAAAAAGTATGGGCAGAAGTGGAATGCACTTCTTCCAAGTCAAGCATTTCATTGCCATTATGAGACCCTCCAGGGCATTTTTCCCTCTGAGCTAGCAACATTCAAGAGGGGGCACTATTATCCATTTTCAGTGACTATGAGGAAGCCAATCCATAACCAACATGGTGATGTAAGTGAGAAAGAAACCCTGGTTGTTGTAAGCCACTGATATTTGGAGGTTGTTTGTTACTTCAGTGTACCTTGGCTTAGGCTGGCAGGTGCACACATATATGATAATGAGGCACCACAGGACCACAAAGAGAAGCAAATCTCTCAAGCAGAGATAGAAAAGATAGCTAGTCCAGGGACTCAACAGGGCAGAGAAGTAGTGAAAAATCTCATTGAAAATGTAGCCAAGGCCAACATTCTGTAGACTGTAGAGTCTTCTGGGCCACAGTAGGGACTGAGGATTTGATTTTAAGTTTGGTAGGAAGATGACTTTGAGAAAGTAAGACATAGCTAGAGAATTGTTGCAGCTGCTTTGTTGAGGTTAGATTGTAGAGATGACGAAAGTAGAAGCAAGGAGGCTAGCTGAAAGGCCACTGAGAGAATCCATGCCAGTGGTGATAATGGCTTGGCCTAGAGCCTAGCAATGCCGCTGCTGACAGGCTTGCTCAAGGGCGGGTGTGAGGAGAGCCAGGGTGAGAGGGGTCAAGGTGTGATCTAAACCGCGTGGATCTGACACCAGTGCATCAATGCTTTAATGTGCTGTGGGCTGGCTTCTCAGACCTGTCATGTTGGGAAGGTAAGAAGATCAATGTTTTCTTTCTAGCATTCTAACTTCAGGTAGAGCAGGGGCCAGTGCAGGGGTAAGGATCTGAGGGAGCCTGCCAGGCCAGAGCTCTGGAATGCCATTAAAATCGTGCATGCCAGGCGGGTTGGCTAGGGTTCTGGGA